ATGAACCGATTTGAGTGATCCAAAAAACATTCGATTTGTAATGATGGGGGGAAGTGGTGATTAGAATTTGGCAAATACAACTAAATGTACAAAAAATGGCAGTTTTTGAGAGAACTAAGCATCCAATGCCTGTGTTCACGCAACGATTGCTTTTGAAGAATTTTTTGTTTCTAGTTTTCAAAAAAAAATTTATTGAATATCGAAAAATAATTTGCATTTCAATTCTAGTTTTAGCTAAAGTTCTAAGCATCACTTATATACTTCAAATAAATTATTACAACTTTGCAATTCAGTTTACATAATTCTTAGAAATATTAGACAATGTTCTTTATTTTTAATAAATATCTAAATCGCAATAAGCTTTGAAGAATATATCTATATTCATTACAATTTAAAACCAGTTGTAAGTAGCATTTTGTCTTAATTGCATAAACTTTGCGATACGTATACATATTTAACTTTTTTGCGTAGTTTTATTGTCAATCAATTGTTGGTGTTAATGCATCAAAGATATTATCTCCTATGAGATATCTCTCTTTCTAATCAACTTAAAATCTAAATTTCTAATCAATAAGAATGATAATTCAGTTATTTAGATAAAATGTTTTTGCAGGCAAATTAAAATTTTCGATTTAACTAAAAAGTAATCAATACGATTACCAATTGATGTCTTTCAAGCAAACTTCTGATATCTGTATTGCATAAATTCAATTATTTTATATAGCATATTTTGTTTCTTCCATTTCGGGCTATAATAAGTTAATTTTATTTAAGTGTAGATGCCAACTGTAATCAGTAGCTACATATATACCACAAAACGTATACAAGCTTCGGCTTAGATTCTGATTAGAATCGATCAAGTTCACCTCGAAATTCTGAACTTTCATGATTTTTTATAATTCATCTAATCAACGGTGTCCAATCAATATCTTTCGAACAGTTTTTGAATTTTGAAACTTATCTAGCTACATCGAACGACTTTTAAATTCTTTAAATCGGTTCAGCAGTCTTTAAGGAAAGAGTCGACTTAACTTAAAACGTCGGTAAAATATGAAATTACTAAGTCGGATTATTTTGCGAAAACAAACTTCTCCTATAGGAAGCTAATTAGATGTAACTCGCATTTCACTTTTTTGAACATTACACTAACTTCGAGATATGTATAAATATGCAGCCCATTATTCAAAATTTAACGAATTTATATAGGTAACCTTTTTATTGTAGGTCTATAATATTTTAGGATATTGGTTTTGAACATTAACTTTATCAGTGTGCAAAGTTTTATAGAAAACTTAGAAAAAAAAATCAACAATCAATTAAAGGAAACAGAGTGGGAAATTTTTTGCTAAAAACCAATGAGCTATAGTTCAAACTGACTTCTTACTAAAAGTTCTTAAATAATCAAAATTGCTTAAATATTTTTGGCAGAAATGTGGATAAAAAATTTAGAATCCTTAAGAAACTGCTTAGCTGATCTTCTCGTAATACCTATAAACGATAGTTCTTTCCAACTTTCAACAAATAGCATTACATTTGACGAAACATCAATTACATATTTGAAATTTGTATAGTCATCTTTGAGAAATTTTTGATTAGAGGTTACATCATAAGTTACATACACATACGCCCACACACTTTTTTTAAAGTTAATGTCAAATGATACAAAATGACCTAAGACGTCGAGAAAACATAAAATTAGCAAATCGGAGTTTCTTGCAAAAACAAACTTCTCTAACTTTTCGGTTCAAGTTCGTGAAGTTGCAAAATGTTTTTCCTCTATCATTCCAAAGATGTGTTTGTGTGTGGTATACATGTAAAAAAGTATTTACTGATTCTATGTCCGATAAGTGTGCTTAACTGTCTTTCTGTATCTTTGTTTGCACATATCTCAACGAAACTAGAATCCCGCAATTCATATTAATGTGGGCGCTGCTCTATTAAGCTTTATTGTATCGCAAGCAATTTATTTCTCATAATGGCTACGTTATGACGTTAATATCAGATAAATACTTATGTCGATGTAAAGTTTACAATGTTTGCACTTAAAGGAAACACGAACTAACGATATTACAAGAAACTGTTAAACTATTACGCTTATCGTAAAACACACCCTAATCGTGTAGCTATTTAATTCAATTGAAAAACTGATTTATCAAACAATACATTTTTATTGCAATTTGTTAATCATCGCACACATGCGATTAATCGTATTGAAGAAAAAATTAAATTTAATCCATGGTAGTTACAACAAAAACTAAATTTCAATCAAATAGCTATAACTCACACTCACAGAAGAGATTATTATTATTCGAATTTCAAAGTTTTTGGCAAAATTTTGAATGAAATTGTTAATTGTTGTGTCTTTTCTTAACTTTCTGTGGGGTAATGAAAATGAAATTTTCATCATATTTTACAAAATCTTTTTGTATGTTAATGTGTTTAGTATGTATGTATGCATGTATGCATGTATGTGCGGATACAAATTTTGTCGACGATTTCGAGGTCGCAGATCAACAGATTTTCGTAATAAAAGGAACATTCGATTGTTATTGATAAGGAGATGTCTGATTAGTTTTTGGCAGGGGCATTTCTACCATTTCCGAAGATGCGGAGTAAAAGTGCCAAAAAGCCAATTCAGTTTTTGAGAAGACGGAGTCCGATTTGCAAAACGCAATAATAATTTGATTAAGGTGTTGGTAACGCGATAAAAAAAGTTTTTAAAAAATGCCATTTTGCGGTCAAAATAATCTTTAAACATATGCATATTCAATTATATACGCAGCGCTGTCGCTTTAAAAAATTCAAAATTTTTAAAAGTTTCAAGATTCCCAAAAAAACTTAAAAATTTCAAAAATTTTAAATAATGATACGGGAAGTTTCATCACCTTAAAGCACGTGTCACTAGTGTTTTATTCGTATGCAACAATAATATTTATTTGATTATATTATTAAAAGTGGATCATAAACAATTATCTTCCAAGCAAAACTGAAAATATTATAAGTTTCAGATATAACAAATATATTTAGCTTTAGTAATATTCATCTTACTCTAATATATTCATTTACTTCAATGCACTGATCTATATTTATTCGATTAACACATTATAAACATTGCCATAAATTTTACAGTATTTCCTGAAGCCACGTGCTGACCATAAACATCCTTTTTTGTGGTCAGTGATTAAGATCTGCATCATAAAAGGCCCACATAAAATTACATTGTCCACACATATTGCCGAGGTTGCAAGGATATTTTACGGATTAAAATGTATTTTATATTTGGAAAATAAAATGTATATCTTAGCAGCATCGACACTATAATTTATTATTGGAGAATGTAGATTTGATATTGACACACACACTATAAAAATTGTAGCAATGTTTGAAATTAAAGATAAAAGCTTTTGTTCTTAACAACTAAGCTTTTGCTCTTACCAACTAAGTAGACTAATAAATTTGCACTTTTTAGTTATTTTATAGTTTTTCTTGGTGCTCAAATCAAATTATATTTGTGATAAATATAAACTCTATGTTTATAAAAATTATTAACTATTCTTAGGGCGACAGTTTTGAAAGCTTTAAAAAAACATTCGAAGTTTTTGGTAAAAGCAGATCCTGTCATTTCGGATACGGAGCAGAAAGTATAAGAAATAGTATCTTTGAAAGAACGAAGCATTTGATTTAGATGATTTCAGAAATATTCGATTTGTATTGACGGGGAGACGTTTTTTATTAAGACGCAGGGAAAAGTTCAAAAATTCTATTAAAATAATTTAACAAATATTGCTTCAGCAGTTCCAGTTTTTTTAAGAAGTTTAAAAGTTTAAAAAAAAAACTACTTTTGCTTCAAACTTTTAATTTTCAAAATTTCTAAATCTTTTTTATATACATGAAATAAATAATTTTCAATTCATTTTATGTAATTCTTAGAAATATGAGTTATGGTTCTCTATTGTATCCTAAAATATGAGATAAGATCCTTTACTCAAACTGGTTTGTTGATATGTTGTACATATATTTTATGTGAACCTGTATAAACGTCATAGTTCATATGTTTAATCTATTATTATTTTCTATTATTATTATCTACTATTATTAATTTCTTTATTGATATTTAATTAATTTTATACCTTAAATGATTAATTACGGTTCATGAAGTTTGAGCAATTTAATTTAAAGCACTACCAGTTTAAATTACATATTGTTCATTTGTAGGGCAATCTTTACAATATGAACAACTCAAGAAATATAAAGAATTCAAAATATATTAAAAGTTTATTTTAATGCTATTAAAAATTTCAGAATATAGATAATGAGGTGATATAATGATAGGGGCACGAAGGTCCATTTCTATTTTGAGCAATTATATTGTGAAACCAAATCAATAATATTACAATAAATAACACATTTTCAATAAACAACTATTTGACTATTTTTAGTGAATCTCTAGTACTATTTAAGTTATATAAAAAACTGTTAAGTATAACTTGAAATTAGTAATACATCTTAAAAAATAGTTGAATAACGTATACTTACAAATATTATTAATATAAGTAAACTGAACAACAGTGCTCACAACCAAAATGACTAATAACGATATAAAATACTTTTGTTATGAATTTTCAAACATTGACATTTATCTCCTGATAGCAACGTCGTAAGAATCCAGATGGTGGCTGGTTACACATCCTTTGAGATATTGGTGGTGGGCCTTTTTACCCACGGATCTACAATCGCCGCTTCATCCTATATGCATTTTATTATATACATGTTTTAAGATAAAATTGAATTTATTGTACTCACTTCAGTTTATATATCTAAAATGAATTATCATTACATTATTAAATTATATTACTTAACTACATATTGTTTTTATAGCAAAAGTTTTAATTTAATATAATATTTTCTAAACATCATAAAATAATGATTAGTAATTAATATTAGTAATGATATTCCAATAATAATAATAATGAAATTTATTCTAATTATTGATTTTGCAGAGTGGCGCATTGCAATGACGTTGACCGCTCATTGGTTCCAAGCGACGGTCACGTGACCGAACATTTTCCAAATTAAAGAGAAAAGCTCGCGGGGCGATGAGGCTCCGTCCACCGGACGCCGGGACTCGGGCGCTGCTCGCACTTCTAGTTTTCATATTGACAGCCGTCGGTAAGTTATCACATTCATTTTATTATAATAGTCTAAGAGCCAGTGAACTATTTGACTAACCTGTTTTCTCAAAGCTAGAATTTTTTTAATGATATTTTATTATCGGTACATTAAAAAATTTTTCAATGTGTTCCACAAATTTGATTTGGACAATTTTTACAGTACTAAAAGAGAAAACAATAGGCTTTTGAATGACGCTAATAAGAAAGTAATTAAACAAAACGCACTATCCGAAAACATTAATTGAATAATTATTTTCTCCTTTTTAGCTAATAATAAAAGATTATTCAGCATATATTACTATACATTCTATGGTCTAAGCCAATATGAGTAGAATTACGTAATTTTTTTTTTCGATATCTTTTATGGTTACGCCAAAAATTGAGTTTGGAAAAGGGCATATTTTCAATAATATCTCGGTCATGAGGTGAGATACAAAGTTGAAGTTTGCTATATCGGATGTTTTCAAAATGACCTTCAAAATGTCGTACAAATTGTTCAAATACAAGAGTATTAGTCGATTATGTATGGCAATGCGTCCACACCCTTGCGCGTCGTGACTATTATGTACTCTGGCAGACCCTTGCAACCGTCAGAATGGTCTGGCATTTTACATATGCTTTCTGAACAGTTAAAAGAATATATCCTCAAAATTTGAGCCTTGTGAAAGCAAGTTAAAAAAAAATTTTTACATTTTCAAAAACTCGAGGGATGATGACGCAATCGCAAGATACTTGCCAGACCGGCACTTTCTTAATGTATCGATAATAAAATATCATTAAAAAAATTTCTAGCTCTGAGAAAACAGGTTAGTCAAATAGTTCACTGGCTCTTAGACTATAAATGGTTACAGTTGGGAAATGTCATGATGTTCTCGTTTTGAAACAAATATGATTATACGTATGTATATATTTTGAATATATAACTCGTTACGTCGTTTTATAGTTTTATCGCCAGTATTTAAAATTATTTTTTACTACAGATTTTATTATAATTTTATCTCGTATCGAACGATCTTCAGTAAAATGGAAATATATTTTAGTGAAGATGGATATACAGATATCAATATATTATGATTCTGAATAAAAACTAGTGCTGCATAGCATCGTCCCATAAGGCAAATTGCTGGAACTTTTTGTACCAAAAGAAATTTGAGAGAAATAGATTTTTGAAATTTTTGAAAATGTTTTTTCAATCAATCAAATCGATTGATCTGTGTTTTCTAAATAGTCGACAAAAAATTGTATATGCGCATACATACACACGAACGTGCATTTTTTCTATGGTATTCCAAAATGTTCAGAAACTATTGAAACGTAAAGATATATAAAATAATCATTTTCGATTTTTTTTGTTATTACTATAACTTACCCTTTATTGTTATATACTAGTCAGTTATGCTGGCAGGGTTCAAATACAAGAAATACCAGGGTTGCAGTTTTAAAATCTGTGTTTGCCAAGACCAAAAAATGTTCCCTATTTAGGATTTAACTAGTCATTAATAGCAATTGATGTACGATATCTAAAATAACTTTATTTCTTAAGGAAATTGTTTTTTGCTTTTGAATCCATACTGATGAAGGTTTGATGTCAATTGTTTTTATGTCTATAAAACTTAAGTTCAGTAATAAGTTCCAAGTGAAGTGAAGTCGCACTCTGATTTTGTAAATTAATTTATACAATTCATTCATGTTCTATTTAAGAATATATGCTGAACAAATAAAAAAATGTTTTTAAAGATATTGTAAAATAATGTATACAATTAATTCATGTTCTAATTAAGAATATATGCTGAACAAATAAAAAATTCTAGTTTTTTATAATCTATTTATTGAAATAGCAACGATGATTGCTAATTATTAGTTCTAAATAAATACCAAAATGTTTAGAACTTTATTAGTTCTAAATAAATACCAAAATGTTTATGAACCGGTGCCAGCTTTTATATTATATCGTATATGTAGGTATTGTTTGTGATTTTACATTTTGATTCCTTGTAGATTAAATATATAAGAATACGCCCAGTATTAGTAAAGTTATATATAAAATCTATCTTGTTTTAGTACAATTAAAAATCGCCATTTGATACAAAGTTTTAAAAAAATATTGACCTAAGTTAATTTCAAAGTATTTGAAGCACATATTTTCATTATGAATTAATAAATATTATTAAGTCTATCTTGTTTCAATACAATTAAAAATGCCATTTGATAGAATCTTTTGAAAAATTATTTGTTTCTATCTTAATTTCGAAGTATTTGAAGCACATATTTCCATCTGATTTTGTTCAAGAATTCAGTAGATTGCGTAGATTCAGTAGATTTTATTTAGTAATATTGTAGTAATAAAACTGATTTTGTTTTTGTAGGTGCTATGAACTAAGTAACAAATGATATTAATCTATAATTTTAATTAGTAATTTTGTTTTTAGCACAGTAACTTTTCATACACGTTATTCATTAACTTTGTATGAGTAAGTATTTGACAGTTATAATAACGTATAATTATAACGTAAAAAGGATTACGTAACCATTATTATTTATAGCTATTGCTTTTTTTATTAAACTTTCTGTATCTAACCTAATATATTTTTGATAATGTGTATTGATTACATATAATTGAACTACCCATTAACGTATATGAAAGTTCAATTTAGCTTTAATAAATACAATTGATTGCTGTTTTTGTGTAAGGTCTATATTTTATCATTTACCAACATACACGCTTTAACTATATTTCTACCACCTAAATTTTATGCCTTCGCGCATATATCTTTTTATATTTGTCCAATTTGCACGCAACAAAATTAAACACATTACATGGCATTAATATATAGAACTTTAGATATAATTATGAAATAATAATTAGTACAAAATCAATAGAGTTTTCATCACCGAAATGGCCCGACAAAGCCATATTCCCGCACGCCACCTATCATGCGTATGTCAATAATAATCATTTATCCATTGACATAGTGATTAACTGAAATGTAATAATGCATCGATGGACAGAAATATTATGCTTCCATGGTGATTTGTTCCATCAATCCCTTGAATGTAATCAGAGATTATTATAAACCGAATGAGCTTACATTCTATTAATAATTACTTAATTTTGTCGGTTATTCACATTATCAGTTATCACGTAAAGCTTTTCTAGAGTTACACATTATTACGACCGGTATTTTTTATTTTTATTTCATAAATTATTCGTAGGCAGACTATTTTAATTGATTTCTTACACTTAATCATCATGTATGTAGAGCTGATATACAAGTTGTTAAAAAGTACAATTGATTTTACGCAAAAGCAATCTTTTTAAGTAAGAATTCTTAATAAAAAAATTATGCATTAATTTTTATGATGATTGTAAACAATTTCAACCACGGTCATTTTTTTTTCAATTATAATATATAATGTTTTAGCGGTTAAAGTATTGAGATACTTCTGACAACAAAAGATCTTTTAAATATGCGTTGGGTGAAATTTTAAAACTTTTGTTGTGAAAAGATAATATTTATGATACAAATGTTAATTATGAGGGGGTTAAACGGTAGATTATTAGGGTCAAAAACAATTTTTAACTAGTTGTGGTATTTTACTTCAGGGCACGTTGCACAAATATGTAACTAATCGATTCAATCATTTATAATTTGATTTTTATACAATCTTCCTGTGAACCTGTATACCCATTCCTGTCTATCTGCTCACCTGTCTATTTCTCCACCTGTCTACTTGCCCATCTGTGAGCTTTTCTACTTTTTCATCTGTTTAAAAGTCCTGTCTACATGCCTATTTATTTACAATATTTTCTTTTGTATTGGAATCAGTAATAATGATTTGTAAATACCATATTTGTCTAATCAACACAACTTGCTAACGAATATTTTTTTAATCAATCTAATCGAGTGCTCCGTTTTCTCACAAACTGCATTGCCATTTTTCGCATTTTTGCCCGGTATTTTCGAAACGACTGGACCAATCTTTCCCAAAAACTAGTCAGTACTTTTTCTTCTCAATAAGAATAGAATGTTTTTCGAATAAATCAAAACGGTTAAACGATGCTCCCGAAAACGTTGACGAAAATCTGTATCTATACAGACATACCTTTTGTTTGTTCTAAAACTTTGACGAGATGACATGCTAAAAATTTTGTTTTTGAGATTTTTGCGATTACTATAACTTACCCTACATAATGTTATAAAGTAACTAGGAACTGGCGAAGAACAAATTGAATTAAAATTAATCGCATATTTGAGTTTGATTAGCATATTTAGAAATATTGCAAAAACCTTGCTTCTAAAAATTTAGCGACAGTTTGTGAAATTGCCAAAAGCAAAATAATAAATTTATCTTTATTAAATGACACTAATAATAGTTACAATACATATTTGAATATCACGTAAACTTAAATAAAATATGATCTAAATTCAATTATATGTCTCGTTTGTACAGAACAATGTACTCATACTATAAGTATACTTTTTTCAAATCAATTTGAATAATGATGATTGAAGATGATTGCTTTTGTCATTACCATGTATATGATTATTGCAATCTAAAAACGTATACATACGATAAATGCGATATTTTTCATCACCGATGACAATGGAAATTGTTGTGACAGGCGCCCTTTACACGTTTTATTACGTACGTATCAATTTTCTTTCCGCGTTTAATAGCCGCTCACGGTTTAACACCGCTCGAGCACGAGATAAGCGAAAAATATATATTACGGCAATAAAACTGTATATAGTAAAGTATTGGGGCTTATATATATACATATATATATATATATATGTATATACACATACATACATATATATATATATATATATATATATAAACTAATATTACATTTATATTCCTATAATAATACAAAAAAATGTGAACTTTCATTATTGATCTTAAGAATCAATTACTCACTGGCAAGTAATTTCTAATTTCTTAACTTCAACAAAACACTTTTAATTATTAACAGAATTGTTGTACAGTTGGTCT